GAATTGTTTGCACCCGAAAGGGAAGTAACGGGAGGCCTATACAGAGAAATACTTTTTAATTTTGTTTCCAGGGGTGTGAAAAATGTTTCTCACTGTAAAGAGACTAAAGTTGTTGACTGAAAACAGGGTGCTAAGGGAACTGTTTGCACCTGAAAGGGAAGTAACAGGAGGCTTATAGAGAGAAATACTTTTAATTTTGTTTCCAGGGGTGTGAAACACTGTTTCTCACTGTAAGGAGACTAAAGTTGTTGACTGAAAACAGGGTGCTAAGGGAACTGTTTGCACCTGAAAGTGAAGCAACAGGAGGCTTATAGAGAGAAATACTTTTAATTTTGTTTCCAGGGGTGTGAAACACTGTTTCTCACTGTAAGGAGACTAAAGTTGTTGACTGAAAACAGGGTGCTAAGGGAATTGTTTGCACCTGAAAGGGAAGTGACGGCAGGCTTATACAGAGAAATACTTTATAATTTTGTTTCCAGGGGTGTGAAACGCTGTTTCTCACTGTAGACACTAAAGTTGGTGACTGAAAACATGGTGCTAAGGGAATTGTTTGCACCCGAAAGGGAAGTAACGGCAGGCCTATACAGAGAAATACTTTTTAATTTTGTTTCCAGGGGTGTGAAACACTGTTTCTCACTGTAAGGAGACTAAAGTTGTTGACTGAAAACAGGGTGCTAAGGGAACTGTTTGCACCTGAAAGGGAAGTAACAGAAGGCCTATACAGAGAAATACTTTATAATTTTGTTTCCAGGGGTGTGAAACACTGTTTCTCACTGTAAGGAGACTAAAGTTGGTGACTGAAAACAGGGTGCTAAGGGAATTGTTTGCACCTGAAAGGGAAGTAACGTCAGGCCTATACAGAAAAATACTTTTTAGTTTTGTTTCCAGGGGTGTGAAACACTGTTTCTCACTGTAAAGAAACTAAAGTTGGTGTCTGAAAACATGGTTCTGAAGGAATTGTTTGCACCTGAAAGGGAGCAAGGGTAGGCTAGAGATAATCGCACAGTGAAGAACCTCAGAATTTGTGTAATGCATAAAGTACTAGTAGGATCTATTGTGAAGAAAAGAAATTAGTATGAAATGGCTTGTAGTACGTATTGGAGACAATAAATACATTAAATGTTGTAGTAAAGAAACTGAAATAGGCAGAGTTTGGATTAGAATATCAAAATGGTTCTTCAAGAAATATGGTGTCAGGATAAGGAGTGGATTCAGCTATTCGAGAAAGTTTGTATGATTCTTATTAACAACTACCATTAGATTTGACAGTAAATAACATACATTTCAGAATCCAACTAAATCTGTATATTTCTATATAACGTCTGCAACATGACATCATACAGTTCTGCTTTCAAGCTAAGGCGCCTTGTGCGTTTATTAGAAGTCACGTGCTTTCATACTTCCATTCCCATAAGAAGAAGAACCATGACATCTATATTTGGAGTACGTTACCAGACCTGAAATGGGCTGGAGCCGGCAGGTCGTATGACTGTCTTACTTTGTTTTTCTGCAACTCGAATCTGTTAGCTGTCTCAGTTGTATTGTGTATAAGCTTATAACATTAACAAGGTTGACGCCACTGGCTTTGAATAATATTTAATTTACATATAGGATAAATAACCCTTCTAATTGTCTCTTTTATGTTCAGAATTACTGTCGTTTAAGTAATAAATATGTCAAAGAGCTGATCATGATAGCCTTGTCACTAAATACAGCTAAAATTAATTATACCTTCTGAAATTCTAATGTGTTTTGCAAGCCAAATTTCTTTCTGCAAACAAAACCATATATGTATTTTGCAATCTTCTGTTTGGCTCCAGCCGTACGGCTAGAGTCGCCCCCTTTTCGAGGATACGCCTTCCTTTAGAAAGTACTTGTGAACAAATGGCAGAAGTGGGACGTTTTGTGCCTCATTGCGAACGAGCAAAATGGTATCATTGCTCACTTTGCTAAAAGAAAATCCTAATAATAACGTCCATATTTCAGTGACGTCCTCATATAAAATATTCAGGCTTCATTCTTAACACCATACTGATGGTGATCCCAACTCTTTCTGCAATGATGTTCTTTATGCTGATCACAACAAGATACAAAGGCCTAACACAGGGTGATCTCGGAATTTGTAAAGTCTTAAAATAACTTCACGAAAATTATTTGATTTATATTCAGTAACGCGCAGGACAGTAACGGAAGAAATATCCACATAGAAGTTAGATTTAATGAGAGCACGGGAGGGCAGATGGGGCGCAGTTGGCACCGAATCAGCAGGCGAATATACATTTTTCTATGGAAGAGAGAATGAGAATTATGAATTAGGTACAGGCTTTTTACTATATAAGAGAATCGTATCAGGAGTTAAGAGGGCAAGAGTTAGTTAGTGATAGGATATCATACATAAAACTAAGTGTTCGCTGGTGTGAGATCATTGTTCTGAGTGCTCATGCTCCAGCAGAGGATAAAATTGATGATGCAAAGGACAGGTTCTATGAAGAACTAGAACGCACGTATATTCGATAAATTCCCTTAATACCATATGAAAATTTTGTTAGGAGATTTCACTGCCAAATTAGGCAGGGAGGATATTTTCAAACCAGCACTCTTGAATGAGAAACTTCACGAAATTAGTAACAATAATGGAATTACAGTAGTAAACTCTGATACATCCAAAATTCTGAATGTCAAAAGTACAATGTTGCCACACCGTAAAAGTAAAAAAGTAAAGCTATCCCTGTAACAGGCCGTGAAGGCCCATAGGGTTGTGAGACGTTAAGGGTCCCACATTACCTTGACAATCGGCTCAAAGATGGCGGTAAGGTTGTCAGCCTTACGCACCGGCCGCGCTTCACTCCCCAGGAAAATCGTTTAATTAATTCCTCATAAATTTACTTGGACATCTCCTGATGGAAAGACGCACAACCAAATTGACTATATTTTGATAGATAGGAAACGGCATTCAAGTACACTTGATGTCTGATCGTTCATGGCAGTAGACTGTAACACTGACCACTACCTGGTGGTGGCGAAGGTTAGGGACAGACTGGCAGTGAGCAAACAAACAACACACAGAGAGGTTCAATTCCAGAAATGAAATGAGGCAGAGGATAAAGAGCTGTATCGTGTTGGAAATCTCAAATAATTCGTAGATTTGGAAAATTTTGACACTGAGGTCGATATTAAGAGAGCATGGGAAACTATTAGAGAGAATATCAAAATTTCAGTCAAACATAGTCTAGGTTATTATGAACTGAAGAAGCATAAACCATGGTTCGATGAAGGATGATCAAAATTATTATACCAAAGGAAACACGACAAATGGCAGTCGTTACAGGATCCTAGTGGGATAAATGGGGATAATCTGAACAATAGAAGACGTGAAGGCAGTGGACATCTCAGGAATCAAAAGAAGGACTATCTCTAAGCAAAAATTAATGGGCTTGAAGCGGGGAGTAATAACAAGAATATTGGAGACCCGTATAGAGGAATAAATGAATTTAAGAGGGGTTACCAGCCTACAGGTAACTAAGTGAAGGATGAGAATGGTGATCTGCTTTGCAGATTCCCACAATATTTTCTCTGTGTTCACTTCTAGACCAACCTCCTTACTAGCGTCAATTAAAGTTTGTGTGTTTTTCTTTATGGTATCTACATTATCGCCAACAGACGAACAGCTAATGTGTCGCATTTAATTTCAGTCCCACCTGCTTTTCCTGGACCTTCCTATTGGCATATTCTAAATGATTTTTAATAATATTAATATTAATAATAATAGCAAAAATAAATCGACTGCAGACAGGAGAATAACTAACTCCTGAAACGTTACGTCTTGTACAGTGAAATCTGTCTTTCTTGGACACACACGGTTCCAGTCAAATTTGGTAAAATTCAGCAGATAGCCGACTTACACAAAATATTGTTAAAATGTGCGATTTATGTGTCTCTAATGACTACATACTTAACTATTGACCTGGCAACCACCATATCCACTGCAAAACATATCTGGATTATTCACACAGTACAATCTTCAGGTTTGTAACTCCGTTTAGCTCGGAGAGAGCCTGGAAGATATATTGCCTTCATCTTCAAGCCAGAAGGATAAGCAAGTCGAGAAATTTGCTTGCCGTCTCCTTGCTCTGCTGGGTTCTTACTTCGCTTACTTTTCGAGCCTGAAGAAACTTCGGCCTCTCTCCTGATTACTTGGCATTTCAACTCAGAAAACCATACTCCGTATAGTCACCGCCGTGAGGACATCATATCCAACTGATTCCTTGTTTTGTTTTAGTCATTTAATCCCACCCCCACCCCCACCCGTTTGCTCTGTAGTCCGCTCCGGCTCCCAAGCCTATAGAGTCCGCCAACTGGTAACATCTTTGTCTACCATGTCATAGTACATTTATGAACCAATTATCGACTTTCGTGAAATAATGTGCTTAATGTTCTATTACACGGCCTTGTTCATGGTCTCTTCTGGAAAGACTGGCATGGTATGACCGAAGACGCAAGAGTAGATAAGTTATGTGACTGTTCTTGAAGGTTGATAGGCCAAATTATATTTACATGTCGAAATTCCAAACAATGTTATCAGGTCATTAACATAAGGGTAGGTCCGCAGCTGGCTGTGAAAATTCTATTCTCTATCAGTCACAGAGAGAGCAGGGTTGGTGATTAGTAGAACAAATGGGTCAAAGTTTCCATTTGCGCCGTCTTGAAAAAAATGTAATCGTTTCCTTTGAGGTCAGTGCAGAAACGCTAATGGTATACAAAGGTCATGACACGAAATGCAAGAAGACGCCAATTATGACAGATAGCCATCTTCACAGCCTTAATTGTACACAAAGAACCTGTGATACTGCCGACTCGTGACGACAAGCACTGCTTTGCTACTCCCGTTGAACTAAATTGAACTGTGCACCACAGGTTGGTGTCGGTATCCAGATTTCAATATTGCCAACGAATACATCGAAGTCATCGCACGTAAACAAAGTTCTAGCTTCTACCGCTAGGTAGCGCTTGAACTCTAATGAGGTTCAGATGTTTGTCATCAGATAACAAGAGAAAGAGAAGATATTCGTTGTGAAGATTAGAGAACAAAAGGAAGATTGTTTCGGTTTCCAAGATGCTAACACGTTCATAATGTGCGATAGGAATTACGATCTTTAAGTATGGAGCCAAAAACTGTAGTTCAGATAAGGTATTGCTGTATTTCATACGGCGAAGTAATTTTGGTGTCTCATCAAACTGAAGCAGAAAATTATACTCCAATGATCCATTCAGTATTACGGACCTTGAACAGCACAGAAGACAAGAAGTTAGCATTCCCAGTTGACAGGTAAGGTCGAGTTTAAGCAAAAATGTTAATTGATATGTGAATGTCACAGGGTATGTTTTATTAAAGATGTTATGATTTACAGCTTTCAGGTTCATGTTTTAATCGAAAATGGCATAGCATTTACTTGTGTGACATATTTAACCAGAAAACATTATCTTCCGTTCTCATTTCTGGATGCATTAAAGGAGAAGTTTCTTGAGGTTCCTAGTCTATGCAGTAGGGCTGTGACAGCAAGTGAAAATGAATTTGACAGGGACTTTTGCCCTGTCATGGCTTCAGTAGTGGTGAGTACAGACGTTTTAATACAACATTATATATCATCACCTGAAACAAAGGCAAAGATTGTGTACCGTGGTGTAGGTTCATGTTTTTAGAAAGAAAGTTGCAAAGCATATACACTTTAGAAAGCTTATATAATGCAGAACTATTTTATGTTCATAGATGAAATCAGTTTATCATTGTTTAATAATTATAGTTTTTTGCAGTTTGTGTGAACTCTTCTTTTAATTTTGTATCATGAAGTTATGATGGATTGAGCATTTTATTATTTACTACCACTTCATTTGATCTTGACTGATTTGTTGTCTAGGAGAAACATGTTATGATTACACAAACATATAAAGTGTTGGAATGGATGTAGTGTTCAATTTTTCGTAGAAGTTTCATGCAAAAAATGTTTTTCCTGCTCAGCCTGAAAGATCTTTTATTGAAGTTCAGAGGTTTTTATACAGTTGGTGTTTGTAATTCTATCATTGTTATTTTAGTTAATGAATAGAACAGGTCTGACTGTAGTGAGCATGATTAATTCATGTCTACATGCCTCAGAGATTATACAGTGTCAGTATTTTTATATTTTCTTGTGTAAGTAAGATGAAATATTGCCACTGTAATACAGAAAGAATGGAACTCTGATTGTTGCCTTTTTTTAGCATATCTTCCTTATTTTGAATAAATGAATTTAGGTATATGAAATCTCCATGCAGTCTGTGTGTCTTTATATCCCCGCTATCAAGTTTTGAATGGCTGAACCAATCTTTATGAAGCTTGGTATATATATCATGGCAACTCAGCCCATCTCAACAGCGTACTTCATAAAATGTGTCCGTCAGTCTGTGTGTCTGTATGGGTATCCCTCTCTTACTAGGTTTATATGAGACAAAGAGCTTTAAGTTATGTCCGAACCGTATGTGGGGGAACAGCCCTGCAGTAATAACAAAAACCATAATCAAACATCACAATATAGTAGTTGGTATTCCTAATTCATATTTTGTAATTGATCAGGTCAGGTCTTATCATGGACTTTAGTCATTCATCTTTTCCTTAGTCACTCCCATCAGATACTGTGATGTTGCCATAAAATAAGCCAACCTGATATCGCCTGTGTCATTTCCATCTCACCACCTATAATCATCGTGTTACTTATCAGGCAGTATTATAAAATGTATGATTTGAGGTTGTTTGCAGCAGAAGTGAGTAGAGTTGTCTTCTAGGATATAATGCAGTGTAATCCATTGAAAGTCTTCTAACATTTCAGAGAAACATGATGCCTTCATTTTCAGGGTTGCAGAATAAGCCAAGAGAGAAACAAGGGCTCTACTTGATACCTGCCTGATGCTGGTTTCTTGCTGGCTTGTTCTTCAACCTTCAAGATGGAGGAATCATTATTCTTGAAAACATCATGTGACTTTCAGTGTACTTCACAGTATTATATCACAGAAGACAGAACTCTTCAGTATTATACAATGTATGCATTTGTTACTGTGATGTCAAATGCTGAAGAAATCACAGTCTTACAGAATTACTTGCATAAGAATGTAAGTATGCATTTTAATTACATTTACCATCATCTGGTCTTAAGGCCAAGAATGCATGGAGCTTTCCATCCTTGTACATAATATGTCCACCACTGCTCCTGTCCCCTCCCGCTGTCACTCTTTCAGCCATAGTCTGTAAGCCTCTCCCCACTTCATCTCAGCACTATCAGCTCTACCAGCAAATCTTTCTTCCTCTAGGAGTCAATGAGAACTGTTAGTATTAGATCTCCACTCTCATTCTGTTTAAATGTTGCATTTAGCTTCGTTCGTAAATTTATTGTCATAATTTGTATGGAATGTATTACTCCGAAACATAAATAACTCTTAACACGAACCATATTTTTCTTTTGGTGCTACAGCCCCAGTGGGCCTAGGCCTACCTCCATGAAACTCTCCGTTTCACTTTGGTTTACTAGATCTTACACATACGGTAGGACTCCTTGGGCGAGTGATCAGCTCATCGCAAGGCCTCTACCTGTAGACAAACACAGAAAAACACACACAAACATCCATGCCCTGAGTGGGATTCGAACCCACGATCCCGGTTTCCAAGTGAGCAAAGACAGTGCATGCCTTAGACTGCTCGGCTACTGTGACCAGCAACACGAACCATATATCTTTATCTATTTAATATACAAACATCTTGTTGCAATGCTAATCACATCATGCATATCATCCTCTATATTGTCAGTTTCCTTACTGCTTTATTAACCATATCCAAGAATGTCTCAAATAAAAGTTGTATATCTTAATGGGATCTGCATTTTATGTTACATCACTGTTTTTCTAGATGAGCCTATTAGAGAAGAAATATATAAACCTTAGCTTGTGCTTCATTTAAAGTATGTGTTAATAATATTGGATTGGCATACAAACATGAATTTCAATATGTTTATGTCCTTAAAGTTCAAGTCAGACAGCAGAAAGAGCTTTCAGAAAAGGGAAATAATGTGGGTTTGCAAGGTGCTTTGGTTCATGTACATTTTAGAGTTGGAATAGAAGGCAGTATAATGTTTTCTTGGCTTTCTCATAGGGGGCACGCGGTAGCGTAGTTGGTTGAGGCACTATGTTACAAGCTGGAAGGTTGCAGGTTCAAGTCCCGATGAGGTCACTGGATTTTTTCAGTTGACCTAATGCTTCCAGCCGCACTATGGCCCTGGGGTTGACTCAGCCTCTAACAGAAATGAGTACCAGGAATTAATTACATAATTTTCCTGGGGAGTAAAGGGTGGCCGGCGCGTAGGGCTGACAGCCATCTTTGAGCCGATTGTCTAGATAATGTGGGACCCCCAACATGTCACAACCCTTTGGGACTTCACGGCCTGGTACAGGGATAACTCTACTTTTTTTTTTACTTTACTTGGCTTTCTCATAGTGCATTTCTTTGCTTTCTTTAATTCTTTTTTGACCTAAATTCTCTAACAGTACATAAATAACTTCAGCTATTTCCTGTTGAGTTTTTTCCTCAGTCCATCTAGGCAATCACTGGGGTAGTACCAAAAATTGAGCCATGATTACTTGCTTCCACATGTTTACCAATTCATTTATTAATCATTCTACCATTCAACACTGCAGAGTCTAAGCTACTGACAGCATCATCACATAACCCATAAATAACAACAACAACAATAACCACTTCCTCCCTCACACTCCCTAATTCACTGTTTGCATTCTTTATACACCCAGTTATCATTCCTGTATGAATACTAATTAATTCAGTAGTGTTACAATTACATTAACCTTTTAATTCATAAAATCAATTTCTCAAGAGAATCTGTTCAAGGCTATGAAAGCTGAAAACATTTTCAGAAGAATGTGAAGAAATCCTAATCCATTAAATAATAATTTTTATAAAAAGCCAAACATGTGAGTGTTTTTGCACCAGGGATAGAAATGGCTTGTCAGAACTTTGCAGATGCTCCTAATCAGCAGAAAAGTCTGAGAAATTACGAACCCATATTAAGAAATAATTTTTTCAATGCACTTTCGAGAATTTGTTCCTACATGTATCAGTTTTGGGAATGACAGTTATGACAGCTTAAGGTACTATAAATTCCGGTCACGGTAGCCGAGCGGTCTAAGGCATGCACTGTCTTCACTCGCTCGGAAGCCTGGATCGTGGGTTCGAATCCCACTCAGGGTATGGATGTTTGTGTGCGTTTTTCTATGTTTGTCTACAGGTAGAGGCCTTGCGACGAGCTGATCACCCGCCCAAGGAGTCCTACCATATGTGTAAGATTTAGCAAACCGAAGTGAAACGGAGAGTTTCATGGAGGTAGGCCTAGGCCCAAACTGGGGCTGTAGCCCCACATAAAAAAGAAAAAAAAAAGTACTATAAATAGCTCCACAAAGAAAAATATCCTAGAACTACATAGGCAGTATCTAGCCCTGTTTCCGGCCCTTTTGTACGTCATTGAAGAACTGCAGCCATTCTGTGTGCTGACATGGAAACTATGTCTTATAACAATGTTTTCTTTGCATAGTATGACTTTAACATTGGACGAGGTGACAAAGTGTCTAAGCTTCGTGCCCAGGTGGAAGATGTGAAACAAATTATGTTAGACAATGTAGATAAGGTAATAGGGCGTGGTGAAAGGTTAGATGACTTACTGTCCAAAACAGAAGATCTGGAGTCACATGTAAGTATCATTTAAGAAAGCAGAATTATTAACTGTTAAAATATTATAATACAAAACTAGAATATAATTTTGCAAGTGACTGACATAAACAGTGAATTTGATCAGTAATTACAAAGTAATTATACGACTCCAATTATAGTTATACATAGACATGTATGTAATGAGTATGTGTTCCATCAGGTCTGACTAGTTTAATGTGATTTCATAAATTAACTTACATATTTTGGCCTGTCTTGGCCATCATCAGAGGTTTCATCAACATTAACTGGAAATACTGTACATATTCGCGATATGCGTACCTGTGTAAGGATCTTGTATCTTAAAATTATAGTCCAAGATAAAACTTTGTAGTTGGTTAAAAGTTAATTACATTGAGATTTTATTGCTAGTGGTTTAATTAAATACATTCCAGTTGGGAGGAGCGGTGTGTTTTTATCTGCAAAGATAATGTAGGAATGCATTATATCATATATTGATTTAGTTATGTAATTGTGAAAGTATAAATCTAACAAAATGCTTACCCATATGTTTCTGTGGTGATCCAGTTTGTTTTGTGGAGTGTGCTTGGAGACTTTGTAGGGTTGATCTGTAGTCCTGTATACAAGAAGTGTAATGGGTTAAGAGGGCATGTTTATATAAGTCATGGCTGTGTCAAAAAGAATATTGTTATGATTGTCTTCGTATTGTCACATGATAGCATGAATACAGACAGGGTTTGGATTGGATAGCGGATTTATTGACCACTATAACACATGACTCGTGACTGCACTTAATTATAGCAGGCTCACCGGTTTACACATGACAGATTGCTAAGATTGCAGCATGCATAGTCTTCTGTGTCTTCCCTTCACAGACTCACTAACTCCCAGGGTTGCAGCCATCTTACACCAACCTCCATGTTTTCTTTTCACAGACTTCCCTACAACTGACTAGTGCTAGGCTGGTGTATTTGTTATATAGCCCCTTGGCAGGGCCTGTGCAGAAAATTACATTTCCAACAGTTTCTCTACTTTTGCGCATGGACTGTTTAGGTTGCCACGTGAACACTACTCAGCCAGTCCATTGGCATGCTGGCTGCTGCCTAGCAGTGGGTCTGCACACTACAGTGCTCCCTTCTTAAGGCTATTCGTCATGAACAGCCTACCGGCATACCACCATTTCTTCTCTTCTGAATTTTGTGCTTGTGATGTCTATGATCGGTCTCGCTTCCTTACCCATGGCTCATTTCTCATGGTGATTACTCTCCAGTTTCTCCCACTGCTCCCTCCTTAAGGCTGCTCATCCAGAGCGACTCCCTGATGAGGCACCAGTCAGTCCAGGTGAGTAAGGTTCTCTCAGTTTACAGTGTTTACTATCTCTTTCCTGGTAACGACTTCCAACAGTGGAGATTCTTCAATTTCTGCCTTCATGTCATTACCTGCTGGCTAATATTCCACAACTGAATGGTTGTTGTCTTGTTTGTTTCATGGTCTCCACCTAGCAGTGTGTCTACACACTACAGTATGTTTCTTAATTAGCTTCTAATTAACTAAGAAGTTTTGTCTTTGACTATAATTTTAAGATATAAGATCCATATATAGGAATATGTTGTAAATGTATACAGTACTTCCAATTAATACTGATGTACCTCTGATGATGGCAAAGACAGGCTGAAACATGTAAGGTGATTTGTCTATTCACAATAAACTAGTTGCATCTGAAGGAATATATAATTTTTACATACATATTATACATTGTGATTGAACAAGATGCATGTAGTAAAGTTATGTTTATACAATATACTGCAGTAGTTGATATAGGTGTGAAGTGCTAGGTAATATTTAATGTTTTATTTCAAATATGTTTTGAGAATAAATAATGTATTTGAAGAAATTCTTCATTTTAAATTAATTGCATAGCCAGGGGAAGTAATTCTCCAGGCAGCAGTGTTATTAACTAATTATGCCTTTGTAATATAACCCAGATACTCAGTACAGTTATCACTAAATCCCACCATTGAACATGATCATGGATCATCCTCGCTTTTTGTAACTCACTTCCATGAGGTAGGTTTGATAACTTTAACTCCAGAGATGCACTAAAATCTGTTACTGATTAGAAATTTGTAGTGTTACAGTAGACTGAAGCAGTTTTGTTTCTAACTGCAGTGAACTCCTTCAAAGTAGTTACCTCCTGCAGCTGTGTACAAATTCAGCATTGTTTCCAACTGTCAAAGTACTTCCAGAAATCATTTTCCTGCATTTTTTTCAATAACCATTGTAATCCATGCCTTCAAACTGCAACCCCTTGGGATGGTTCCTGGTAGAGAAGAAAAATAATTCATGCAGAATATCTGTTGAATAAGTGGGGTGTTCAGAACCACATTCAGCTATTTTTTGCCAAAACTACCTGCAAAATGGTTATAGTGTTGTAAGTCCTTCTGGTAATATACTAATAGTTGTAAAACCTGTAAGTTTTAATTTATCTGAAACATGAAATAATCTGATTCCAGTTTTGAATTCTTTTAATGTTTAGTTCATATGCTGTTAATATGTGCTTTTTTCTTTTTTCAGGGTACAGTTTTTCGTCAAGGAGCCCGTGACATCAGAGTTAAAATGAGGTGTAAGAACCTTAGAATGTGGCTTGTGATTGGTGGATTGCTGACACTTGTGCTTACCGTTACTATTTTATCGGCTTGTGGTGTGATACATTGGTGAGATTTCATGCCTGCCATGTGTTTGAATTATCAATGTATGATACATGTGCCGTGCTTAATATTTGGTTCATTATTTTGTCTGGATTAATCATGATGTGGAATTTTAGTATCGAATGAACTGGAAAGGGTACTTGCCATTTCTCTGCAGATAATGAACACTAAGGTGATGAAACCTTTATATAACTTTTTTTATCATACCAAAAATATTTGTAAACTTCATATATTTAATTACATTTTGCAAAGTTATTGAAGTATACAACTTATTATATAAATAATATTTATGTATATATATAAATATACACAATGGAGCCCTCATTTAATCTTCAATTTAGTTGCTCCCAAATCAATAATTTCAGTTCAAACTTCCTTCATTTAAAATTTTCCAAAGTTCAGTATCAAATCTATTACTTCCAGAAACCTTAAGTGGAGTTTTCGCTGTATATTATAGAAATATAATCAGTAGCAAGTCAATGTAGATACATGCATACTCCTGAAAAATAAGATAAAATAGAGAATTTTGTACAAAATGTTGTGCAGTAAGGCTCTGTTGCAGAATGTTTACTCAGCTGTTTCATAGCAATGGACATGTGTTGATTCGTCTGTTTCATAGCAAAGGCTGTACTTGTTACAGAGTAATGGTTCAAACATGGTGTGTTATGAACTGACAAGTTAGTGTCAAGTGTAAAATAGTGCCTTATGAGTAATTAAAAAATAATTATCCAATTAAAGAAGGTTGCTGGTATGTTGCATACAGAAGATGAATAAGTACAACCAGTTTCACTAATGCAGCAGGATGCTACACTATAGAATTATAATGTTACTTATGTTGCTGGGTTGGATTAGGTTGATCCATATAGAGTATAATCATCTTTCATTTATGCAACGTTAAACACTTAGGAGTCCCGGCTAATTGTATAATACTTGGGTATAAGAACTGCCTTCCTCTTTGTTTCTAGTGAACATTTCATTACATAGTTGTTTGTTTGATTCCAGAATATTTGCCCTTCAAAAAACATGAGGAAAAATTTATATCACATACCCTAGTCCATGTATGCTCAGGAATATCTGCTAATTCCATGTCTTGGTCTTATCTTACCTATCGCTGAATGTTAGTAGTGATATGCCTTAAATCATTTTATGTACATGTACTAGACACATTTACACAGTCAAGAGTGTTCATAAAATGTTTCATGGCCTGTTTCTTATGACTTTGACCGTATTTGGATTGTGGTCTAGTGATCTGCATTCTTGGCTACAGATCCAGAGGTCTGGGTTCGATTCCCGGCGCTACCAGATTCTTTCTGAGGAGTAGGGGGTCTGGAACAGGGTGCACTCGGCCTCGTGATGATAATTGAGGAGCTATTTCGAGGAAATAGCAGCTCCGGTCTAGAAAACCGAAATTAACAGTCATGGGGATTCACTGTGCTGACCACGCGACACCCTCTATCCGCAAAAGTTGGCACTAACTTCGCCAACAAGCGGCGGTCCCGCTCGGTCGGTATAGTTTGCTTCCGGACTGAAATCACGGTGTTTGTTTTGTTTTGATCATTCTAACAGAAGTCAAATAGTCATGAAACTTAAGGAGAAATACACATGTCCTCATACTTCATTATATGTTAAAGGTTCTTATGAGGTCATTTTTTTTAGTCCAGTGTAGTGCTGCTTAACTTCATTGGATTATAGGAAGTCTGACAGTTAACTACACTAATCCCATAAAGAAACAAATATCAAAAATTATAACTGAACTTCATTGAGTGTGGTCAACTTCACAGTACTTCCTTCTGACGTCTATGTAGGAATCCCAACATTTCTGTCATGTGTGGAAACACTTCTGGAAATCATTTTCTAGAAGTTCTTTCAGTCCCGCCATTACATTGCTCTCCATCTTTTCAAGTGATTCAAAATGTGAGCCTTCCAAGAAGAGTTGAATCAGTCAAGTATGATGATTTTCCCAATGTTAATTTTTCTTTCTTGGCCAAAAATCTCTTTACTATAAGTACTGTGTGGGAAGGGACATTGTCATGATGCAAAATCTTCTTGCCCAGTGTAACACCTTTTTTTTTTTTTTTTTTAATGTACTGCCATAAACATTACAAAACATGGTTGACTCTTTTAGACGAATAGATTTGTAATAGATTTGATTTGATATGCAAAATACTGATCTGCATAGCTTTAACTTTTGTCATTCAGACTTTTCTTGATCTTGGAAAATCGTGACTATTTTCCATATGAGGTTTGGCATTTTGTTTGAGGTTGTACTGGAAGACCAAAGTCTTGTCACCAATCAGTGCTTTTTGTAAAAATATGATTCTTTGGACAGTCTTACTGAAATATGTGAACAAATTTCTTTTCTCATGTTTTATTCACTAGCAAGATTTCCTTATATCCATATTTTTTATTAAAACCATTGTATGAGTTTCTGTGTTTTATGTTCAGTTCTGCTTTCTTCTAAGTGTTGACATTCACTTTCCCATATTTTGATTAGTTCCTAAGTTATTCTATAGCCACATCTTTTACCATCTTGAATGCCTTCTCTTCTGCCAAAAAATCACTTAACTGGCACCTTTTTTCCTCATTATCTTAAAGTTTATGTTGTATAAGGCTATACAAATATCTTATATATCTCCATGGTTCCTGTGTGATGGTGTTCAGGATAAAGTGATGTAATAAGACATGCTCAGTTTAGCAATTCTGCATCTTTGAGCAGTACATGTAGTTTATAGTTGTGGGCAAGCTTTCAGTAATGGCTTGTGTTTGTCCATATTGTTAGTCTTGATTCAAAATTTCAAGGGAATAAGTATGCTGTTTACAAATAGGAACTCTGCCATACAGCTGCTACACAATACACAAATAATATTTCCAGATTCTAAAGAAACTTTAATACTTAACTTATTACAAGATCTTTTTAAATCCTAACAAAACTTTGAGCCAAATTAGGGATGCTGCAGCAGTGGCCCTCAATCATATAAAAGCATTAGGTATACAATATACTCTTACGGAGAGTGGCAGTGTCAGACAAGAAAGCTATATGAGAAAAAACTGGTAGGTTAAGTGACATAAGTTGATCAAGTGGCAACAGCTAACCGTTTCGGCTCTCTGAACGCAAAACTGATGGTTGTTCAGATCACTGTTGGTCACTGAATTTTCAAGTTAGGACATGCACACATTGTGTAATAGTTTAATTACTTCACATATGCCAGAGGGATGAAAGTCTCTTACTGTCCTGAAATAAATGTTACACAGAAATTATCTATAAGCTCCTGAATTAAATTTATCCATACCATTTTCAAGAATGTTAACATTTTTCATTTGGGTCTCTACTGGATGTACTGTTGTTTCCATGAATGCTGACCTGTACGTTTTTATTTAGGGTGATGGTCTCCATAAATAACCAAAATTTCATCAGAATCATTAAAACATTTTAGAGAATATTGCCAGTTTCTTTTGGAACCCATCTGAAGGGCACCTAGTTTTGGAGCTAGAATATTTGTATTCACTGGGCATTGATTTGTGACAAACTTTTGAATACCAAATATGAACAAAATGTGTCTGCCTGCTCAAGTTCTAGCAAAGGGCACATGCATATATACTAAGAGGTGGCACTCCAAAAAACATTTCTTTGTGTTCAGGAAATGAAGATGTGCAAAACCATCACAGTCTCAATACTGATTTTTTTTTCTCCATCAGAATATTTTCTCATATGTATGTTGGATATGGGAAAGTGAAAACTGAAAACTTGTTTTGCATGATTGGACTGTACATGGGCGAACTGTTCTGAAATATTTTCAAAGGTCAGTATTGAAAAACATAAAAGAGGTTTGAATGGTTGGAATGTACCTGGATATAATGGCCAAAGAAAATTGTACAGCCACACTGTGCCTTCCAAATCCTTTTCTAATGGCTTCTAATTTTCATATTAGTTTAAGAAATGATGCCTTGAACCTTTTACATACAGTGAGAACAGTAGAACATAAAACATTCTAATTTGTAAATGGAACTGTCAAGAAAATAGAACTGCTTATGTGAGACTTAGAAGACAGAACCTCAGTGATTATTCTTTTTTGTTTTTCCTCACAATCCAGTACTGGTACTTTGATAAAATTTTACTAATGAGGTGAAGGTACAGTTTTATTAACTTCAGAATCATATATAATGAAGTGTTTCTTCTATATGATGTAGGACAATATTATAGGATATAGTCATATAATTTGTCTTATTACATATCTACACTGAAGGCACAATATGTGGAATTAATTTCTAACGGTAACGGGGACTGTATGACTCATTTTAATTCAAAAAATAAGGAATGTAAAGGTAGGGATTCCACAAGGGTCAACCTTGGGCCCGTTTTTGTTTTTGATTTACATAAATGACCTACCCCTCCATATAACTTATGGGGAAGTGGTGCTATTTGCAGATGATATTGTATTGTATTGTATTGTATTTATTGCACGCTCCAAGACATCCTTACATGGCCGAAGCCCTTGGATACAGAACCGGTATCACAACAAGCCTGCTAAGTAGCAGGTAGTCGCTAGATATCAGTATACTGGTAATAGAAAAGAACAAAAATATTCTTCAAGACAAAATAGATAAGGTAATGAAGCAACTCGAATCTTGGTTTTCAGTGAATAATATGGTAATAAATAATGAGAAAACTACAGCAATGTATTTCCATGTGAATAAACTACAAGATAGCATTGAGCCAGTAATTACCTTTAAAAATATAATAATTAATTATACAGCACAGTTTAGGTTTCCTGATATTAATTTAAAATGGAACATTCATATTCAGTCGGTCTGTACAAAGCTCAGTAAGGTGTGTTACATTATTAAAGCTTTGAAAGGCGAAGTAAGCCCATATGTCCTTAGGAATGTGTACTTTGCTAAATTTCAATCTCAAATAAGTTATGGTTTGATATTTTTTTTTTGGGGGGGGGAGAAAGTGAAAGTAAAAAAATTCTGATTTTGCAAAAAAGGGTTCTTTGAATAATGAAAGGGGTAACAAAAAGAACATCATGTAGACCTATATTTAAAGAATTAAAGATTTTAACGGTAACATCTTTGTATAATTTAGAGGTGTTGCGTTATTTCAAGAAATATAACATTTACACCACAAAAAACTCTGACCTACATAAGTATGACACAAGAAAGAAAGAAAGAAGACCTTCGCGGGCAAAGTTATAATACCTTAACATATGAGAAGGGTGTTACAAATATGGCTATTAAGCTTTATAATAGACTGCTTTTGGAACTATGAATGGTAAAAGCAGATAGAGAATTCCTACTCAAAAGATATTTACTGGAACACCCAGTGTATAATTTGCATGAGTTCCCCTCAGAAGGACAGCTAAATGAATAAGATTCTCCTTGATAAATAGATTTAAGTGTAAATAAAATGACTAGTAACTAGGTAAAGTTTTTAATATGATTCAGCCTATAAAGGGAATGGAAGTCTTAAAAGAGATTGGACTTCAAATTATTTAATCGTTATCTAAATTGAATTTTATCTTTTGTGTATTATTTTGATATAATAGGTTTTAAGTTTAAGAATATGACGGTGGTAATTAAGATATATATAGTAAGTTGACCTTGTTTTTTATAATGGAAGGTAGTCGTAAATTTGATTGTACCAAATATATTTTAATTATACCGTGAGTGTGATTTTAATTGTAATTGAATGTTATGTTATGTGATATATGATGACATTCAGTCAATTGGGCAGGAGGCCAATTAGGCTGGAAAAGTTGTATATGTATGTTATTATTATTATTATTATTACTACTACTACTACTACTACTACTACTACTACTACTACTACTACTACTACTACTACTACTACTTTTCTTTCATGAACAGCTCATTGCCAACTGTGAAAAAAGTTTTAGCTAGTGTGTTGTTCAGCCAGTATGCATGCCAGAGTACATTTGATGCAGTCTGATGAACTTGTCAAAAGTCACACATTTGCGGGTGCACTGTATATTTTATCCTTGAGACTTAAACAAGTGTCAGAGTATTGGCAGATGTGTTTTTAGAGAAGAACATATATTTTAGCTATGTTAGAAATATGCCATCATTTCTCCTGCAGATGCTGTCCGTAGACCACTAGCATCTTAGATCACAGTACAAGTTTTGAGGAATCAAAATATATAGAGATGTATGCTTTTGATATAAACATTGTGTTTCCAGTAAGAATGCTTGTGTTAAAAGGCATTTAAATTCTGACCAGTGAATGTATTAAACCAATGAACTAGTGCGTATGATTTCTAACTTGGTGATCTGCCATATAATAAAGGCAATTTTAAACAGTCTTGATTATTGCCATTTTAAAAAGTATATTAACTCTCTGGGTAATAGTGTTTAATGGGAATTAAGGCAGAAATCTTTATTATCTGTGATGATGTTATTTCTGTTAGTGGTGCATGAATAGAGCCACCATGCTGGGGATAGTTTTCCTTTCAGATGGCATTGACATTTGTGTCTACACCCTTCTTGCCATCTGGATTGAGATTTCTACACCCCCCACCCCCCAGAGTGTAACTGAACATTGCCCAAAACACATGTGATTCATCACAATCACTCCATTTTGTGATTCCAAATAAGAAAGAATTTCAATCATATTTTCATCCTTTTCATTTTCAGTCAATTTTCTTCCTACCACCATGTGTACCATAAATACATTTATCTGGGTGGCCGACTTCATTTAATTTATTCTGTAACTGCAGAATTCACACACTCTACCCTCTCTTTCGCATTTCACCTAGTGATCAAAGACAACAGTACATAGTTGCACTCATCTGTAAATAGTTTGCGTTGTTTTTAATGTTTAAAGTATTAGAGCCTGAGCAACAAGTCCACCAGCTGTTTAAGTTAGCTTATGACCTAATTTTGTGTTGTGCGTCTGTGTGCATGTGAGAGAGAGAATTGTATGTTAACATTTGGTTCAAAGTAGGTAGAAAGCTTTATTCCAGAAGTACAACTTAAATTTAACAACCCACAGCCTTGCTTTATGCTTTATACAAATATATTTATGCTTATAAGTCTACACAGTTTCTTCAACACAGCAGTTTACCAAAAGAAAAGAGAGAGAGAGACATTTTGTCTCTTGAATCCATAATAGACCTGCATTTAAACTAAAGCTGATAGCGTGCTCTTCAGCGGTCTCTGTTTTCTTGCCTGTGGTGAATTGGCAACATATTTCTCAAGCTGTACTGGGAAGAATAATTGATTATGTATAAATATTACATTGGATAATGAGCTTAGAGAAGCAGGGAGAAACCCAATGTTAACAGTGCTGGGGTACATTTCAGTTTCAATCTAGTAGATAAATTTGGTTTCACAGTCAAAGAAATAGCAGCATTCTGATTCATAAGAATGTTCTAAAATCTTCAAAGAGGAACTCTGGTAATAACAATGGCTGATTTTCTCAAAGAGAACACTTCATTGGTATGCAGGACAGCTAAGATTTCCAGTCAGAGTCCCTGCCAAATGCAAAAAGCATGTGATTCTACCTTTGTAATGAGAATTGATTGAAGGGGTGTGTGTATGTGCGGACACATGCACTCATATTGCCAGAGTATCTTTCAGGCACCCTCATATGTTACAGCTTTGACATCAGTCTTAAATTGCATGCCTTCAGATATTATATTGTAGCGTGTTTGGTTGTCTGTCACGCTACAAATAAGTTCACGCCGTGGTTTGGTGCAGCGAGTTTATTCTGTTCACTCGCATTACACACACTTTACAATCATCTGCACTTGCAGTCTTACAATAACCAATTACAATATTCCGGCGATACTGGACTTGGATATTCCAAAGTTTCTTCTCCGAAGGCTGTTCCGCGACTGACTTCTTCGAATGCTATTCCGAGACTCACTTTGTTTGTCGCTGAAGCTGGGCTATCTATAACCTTGCCCGCTGTTAGGCAACGAACCCTCCGTTATAACCATGGAGACTCCTGTTAGAATTACAATGGAGCAACTGTTGTCTCCTCTGTAACGGTCTATTGTAGCGTTTCCATAGAAGTTACTCCTCTGGTTTGCCGACACGTTACAATATTATTATATTCTATTACATTCCTAACTAAAGACATTCTTTGACATTTATTGTCTGCATTGTTTAGAGTAATGAATTAGTTTGTATTGAGGATTTGATATTACTGATTCGTAACATACAATACATTGGTACTTCTGAAAGGAATGTGGAACATCAGTGAAACAATGACAAGAGAGTGTGGAAACCTAAGGGTATATACCTTATATGTATATATATATATTGTCACATGTTCGGAATCCAGAAGACACTTCCATAGTAACACCAGAACAGACCTTTGCATTAGAAGCAACAATAGCGGTATTGTCGCCCCAACAGTTGGCCGTTGCATAGGAAGGGACAATAGCGATACTGTAATCCCAACAGTGAGCCGTTGTATCGAAAACATCGAATCTCCACGGTTACGGCGAATACACGGAGCATTCCCACAGAGACAACACATTAACAATGGGTCGTTGTGTAGGAATCGCGGAATCAAAGCAGCGTTTCCCGGTGATAGACAACAGAAGGCATTGTATAGCAACCGCCGAGGTATAAATAGCCCAGCTTAAACAAGAAGCAGTTAGGCTGAAATTAACTGCCGAAGGAGAGTCTGGAAATACCCGCCGAAGAAGATAGTCTTTGGATAGATGCCGAAGGATACAAAAGTCAGTCTGGGGATAGCCGCCACTGAAGACAGTTGGAATTTAGACGCCGAGAGCTACAGTAACTCTAATACTGCAAGTGGCGATAATTGTAAAGTGTGCAAGTGTGAGTGTTCAATAAAGATTCGCTGTATCCGAGACCCACGCGAATTTATTTGTTGCGTGACATACCCAACACGTGACAACTAAGTGAGCAGTTATGTGATGGTTTNTAACAATATATATATATGAAATAATGCAAATACTAATGATTCTAGAATATAAGCTACCAACAGCTTTATAACTTAGCACTAGAATAAAAGACAAAGTCAATATACATGCAGCAGCAAATGGTATGAAAAAGTAGCGAAGTTCAAGTGGGTGGGAAATACAGCAACAAATCAAATTATATTTTGCCTTTATCATGCAGATTAAATGGAGAAATTGCTTTCCATCATTCTGCTCAACCTTATATCTTCCCACGTCTCTTCTAAGAAATTAAATTAAAATTTACAGAAATATAATATCATAAATTGTGCTGCTGACTTCATACTATTATGGTGATTAAATGAAGAGGAATGAGATGGGTGGAACATGTAGCATCATGAGTATCTGAGAAATGTATATAAAATGTTGATTGGAAAAAAGGTCAAGGAAATAAGCCACTGGAGAACTTGTGGCATAGATGCAGGAATAATATAAAATTGTATCTCTGTGAAATAGGGTCTGAAGCTGTGGACTGCAATGAACTTGCCCAGAATAGGATTTAGTGGAGGGATTTTTATGAATATGGTAGTTCAGATCTTTTAAATGGTGAGAATTGATTTCAGGGCCGCATGATTTATTATCAACCTTTCAAGGAGAACCATGACATTAATTAGTCCAGTTGTTGTACTTGCTCACTTTCTTTCATGAATGAGGCATTATGAATGTTCTCAGGACTTGCTTGTGTTGAGAGCTGGTATGTAATAATTATGTTTGCTGATAAAACATCACAAATGCATGTGCTAGTCATATGTAACTCTTGTAAGGTATCCTATTAACAGAGAAATTTGCTTGTAAATAAACAGTACAGATAACTATACAGGGTGATTCACGAAGTTCTACCCCGGCTTATGGTACATATTCCTGGGGTTACTTGCTGCAAAATTTTCTTATGAACTTTTGGTCGATTTTCAATAGTTACGGAGTAACAATAGATTTTCAAAACTCATCATTGTGAATGCAGCGCTATGCTTCAGCGTGGGCGACCATACGTTCCAGTCAGCTATGTCAGCAGATAAGGTAGACCAGTTTGAATATTGCGCATAGGTAGATAGGCAGAGCCGTTCATACGCGTGCAACGCATTGTGTTGACGTGCAGAGAGACATTTTTGAAAATCTTATGTAAATCCAGTCGTCTTCTAAAGCACTACAGTGTAAAGGAAACAGATTGTTAGAAGGGTGCGATATGCAACCATTTGTATGTTTACAGAATGGGATGCTGAAAATAATGTAATTTTGTAACACAAAATCGATGAAAAATGTTGCACAATGCAAAATTAAGAAATTGAAGAGAAAAATTTGGTTTTAGAATGCTTCTTTCCTAAAACATTGACGATTTAAAAAGTGTTTGTATTGTATTTCTAATTTGTTTTGACTGAAATTCGAAGAAAAAAAAAGATTTTTTGCCAGTTTTCAAATTACTGTATCTCTTTAATTATGAGTTGGATACCATTAGTATATTAACATTTTTTGTTCCAAATTACCTCAGGAATGCACTCCCTAAGTGGGGGTAAAACTTCGTGAATCATCCTGTATATGTGATAAGGCTTTTTACAGGGTTATGAGAACTTTAATGAGGCTTACCGTCTGGGGATATGTTTATGGTGCCATGTAATAAGAGAACAGAGATACAAATTTAATTTCATGCACATAGAAGTAGATTATGAAAAGTGCAGTTTTCTAGGATGTGACACCGTGTAATTTGGGACTAGAGAAGATCACACTCGTCATAGTGGCCACTGTTGGAATCCCCTATCCAGCAAAACAAAAGTAGTCACAGGACACAGCCATGCTAAATAGAACACTGTAGCTTACTGTTTAGTGTGGCATGTAGAAGTGCTCGTTATTTCACACTTCTCTTCTGTTATGCAAGAGCTCTAATCCTCTCAATTTGGTCTCCCCCTCCCCAATAGATTCATATCGCGGAATTAAATGCTTCATGCTTCCAGGTACATTAAAGAAACATTTCATCCATTCGTTTCCTTTAGTTTCCATATATCCATACAGGTAACAAACCTAGGATGTGGAAATGGCCCCTTTGAAAATAGATATATAAAAATACATATACAAAATTACACCAGTTACATAATTAAAATCACTTACATTAATTGATTAACATAAATAATAATATAAAGTAAAAAAATAATAAGATTTTAATTAATAAATATAATTTAAAAATTACTATAAAACTTGAATTAATACAGTTTTATTTAAATTATCTATATTANTTTCGAGAGAAGTCGTCGATATGTTGCTTTTTTTTTTTTTTTTATTGCGAGTGCTCAAGACTTGAATGAAAACGGCAAGTTCTGCTTCCTTATGTCGTTTGTTTTTATTTCTGCACCAAACGGCGTACATTTATCTTTCAGTTT